AGCCCCCCTTTCCCCCCCCTTTGGCCCCCTTCCGGGACCGTGCCCGCTTCCTGTGCCCGACCCGTACCATGCCCTCCTTACCTCCCAGTGCGGACTCGTGCCCGCAGCCCTTGCCAGACCACTCGGTCCCGCAGTCCTTGCCAGCGACTCGGTCCCGCAGTCTTGCCAGACGACTCGGTGCCCGCTTTGCCAGGACTCGGTGCCCGCAGTCTTCCCAAGACGACTCGGTGCCAACTGGGGTTCAAAGCGCCCGCCGCTCCGGCCTGAGGGCACCCGAGGAACCCTGACGCTCCATTACTGGGGGGGTCTGGCGCCCGCCGACTCCGCCTGAGGGCCCGAGACCTGTTCGCTCCATCTGGAGGGTCCGGCGCCGGCCGCTTCCGCTCTGAGGGCCCGAGACCCTGTCGCTCCATCTGGGGGTCCGGCGCTGCCGCTCCCGCCCGGGGGCCCGAGGCCTGTCGCCCCGCCCGGGGGCCCGAGGCCTGTGCCCCGCCCGGGAGCCCCGGTGCCCGGGGGCCCGGTGCCTGTCGCCCCGCCCGGGGGCCCGGTGCCTGTCGCCCCGCCCGGGGGCCCGGTTGCCTGTCGCCCGCGCCGGGGGCCACGGTGCCTGCCGCCCGCCTGGTGGCCCGCTGCCTGCCGCTTCGCCTGGTAGCCCGATGTGCCTCTGCCCGGAGTCCTGCCCGATGTGCCTCTGCCCGGAGTCCAGCCCGGTGTGCCTCTGCCCGGAGTCCCAGCCCGGTGTGCCTCTGCCCGGAGTCCAGCCCGGTGTGCCTCTGCCCGGAGTCCAGCCCGGTGTGCCTCTGCCCGGAGTCCAGCCCGGTGTGCCTCTGCCCGGAGTCCAGCCCGGTGTGCCTCTGCCCGGAGTCCAGCCCGGTGTGCCTCTGCCCGGAGTCCAGCCCGGTGTGCCTCTGCCCGGAGTCCAGCCCGGTGTGCCTCTGCCCGGAGTCCAGCCCGGTGTGCCTCTGCCCGGAGTCCAGCCCGGTGTGCCTCTGCCCGGAGTCCAGCCCGTGTGCCTCTGCCCGGAGTCCAGCCCGATTTGCCTCTGCCCGGAGTCCAGCCCGGTGTGCCTCTGCCCGGAGTCCAGCCCGGTGTTGCCTCTGCCCCGGAGTCCAGCCCGGTGTGCCTCTGCCCCGGAGTCCAGCCCGGTGTGCCTCTGCCCGGAGTCCAGCCCGGTGTGCCTCTGCCCGGAGTCCAGCCGGTTTGCCTCTGCCCGGAGTCCAGCCCGGTGTGCCTCTGCCCGAGAGTCCAGCCCGGTGTGCCTCTGCCCGGAGTCCAGCCCGGTGTGCCTCTGCCCGGAGTCCAGCCCGATGTGCCTCTGCCCGAGTCCAGCCCGATGTGCCTCTGCCCGGAGTCAGCCCGATTTGCCTCTGCCCGGAGTCCAGCCCTATGTGCCTCTGCCCGGAGTCCAGCCCGATGTGCCTCTGCCCGGAGTCCAGCCCGATGTGCCTCTGCCCGGAGTCCAGCCCGGTGTGCCTCTGCCCGGAGTCCAGCCCGGTGTGCCTCTGCCCGGAGTCCAGCCCGGTGTGCCTCTGCCCGGAGTCCAGCCCGGTGTGCCTCTGCCCGGAGTCCCCGATGTGCCTCTGCCCGGAGTCCAGCCCGATGTGCCTCTGCCCGGTGTACCGCTGCCCGGAGTCCTGCCCGGTGTGCCAGTCTTTGATATCCCGCCAGTTACCAGACCCGGGCGGTGGAACATTTTTCCCCAGCTAGGACTGTTTGGAGCGTCCTGAGGCCGCTCCTTGAGGGGGGGGTACTGTCAGGAATGGACTGGCCAGCAATGGTGGGACTCACCTGCCTTTTGATCTGCAGTACCAGGGCTGGCCAGCGGATGCTCCCAGCAATCAGAGACTCAACTTTGCAGCCAGCTAACACCTGGAACTGATTATGCTGGGGTATTTAAGGGATGGCCAGACCCACAGACTCTGCCTTGGTGTTGTGTTTGTCCTGGGCCCTGTATCCTGTTTCTGTCCTGCATCCTGTTTCTGAACCGCTGCTGACTTCTCCTGCTCTGATCCCGGCTCGCTCCTGACCATCCCTCTGCCTGACCCTCTGTACCACGCTGCTTGCTACCTGTTCTGATCCCTGCTTGTGACCCTGACCATCCCTCTGCCTGACCCTCTGTACTACGCTGCTTGCTACCTGCTGAACCTGGCCTGTGAATCTTGAACCTGGCCTTGTGACCCCGACCAATCTCGCTTGCTCCCCCTGTACCTACCTGCCCTATTGATATTGACCCGGCCTGCCTGACGACGCTTGCTTGTATGTACTGTTATCTGTGGGTGGTTGGTTTGGTTTGGTTTGGTTGCACTGTATTATGTTTTTAGTATTGCACTGCGTTTATGTTTGTATTGTTAGTGTTAATAAATTATATTGTTTATAACATATCTGAGGTCTGCGTTTCCCTGCATCAGCCACACACCTCTGGTCACACCTGGGAGCCCTGACACATCAGCTTCCATATATCTCTAAGGAAAAGTTTTCCAATTAAAATGATCTTGGACTCTGTAGCGCTACTGCTGTAGGATGCCCAGGGTTCTTTCCCCGATAGTTGCCCCGCAGACAGGCACACAGTCTTACTCACTCTTTTGACTCAATGAACAGTCCAGGGGTCTTCTTTTTGGCGGTTTTATTTTTGGGTAACTTGGCTGGGGATAGGGAATTGAGTGTGATACTCCAAAATTATGTACAAATAGGAGGACACTTTCTCTTCTGTGGAACTATTAGCCAAGTCCTTGCACAAGTAAAGGTGTGAACTAGATGTTTAAGCAGCAACTCGAGGAGATTAACCTTCCTCTCTGGACAGTCCAAGCAAAGTCCTTTCACTAAGAATTAAATAGACTAAGCTCTTCAGGACACTGGACACTATATCCCCTTTAAACACACACTGACCAGGGGAGGACTGACAACTCATGGGGCCCCCGGGCAATAGGGGATCATGGGGCCCCTGTTTCCTTGCCCACACTCAAAGCACACCCAAAAAAGCCTATAAAAAGGTACCAGGGACATTTCATGGGGCCCCCTACTGACCCCGGGCCCTCGGGCAGTGCCCGAGTGCTCGAATGGTCAGTCCACCCCTGCACCTGACTCTTCAACACTGGAGGGGTGGCAACAGCATGCAGTCTCTAGGACCGCTCACACTTGTCTGTACTCACAATTGTCTTCAGATGATTGGCTGACTTCTTTTAATGCATTCCAGATGCTCTCTCTGTAATACCAAACTAGATCCACAGATGACAGACCCACCAGGCAGCTCTAGTAACTTTCAGCAAACAAGCTGGCCCCCCAGCTCACCAGTTGGGACCACGATGTACTACAAGCACATGGCAGGATTGTCTAGGGGGCAATCAACAGTGCTAGGCTGTGATCTCCTCCTCAGGGACAAGACACTTTTGGAATAATGAAACCTGCAGCCTGTGAAACACAGAACAGACCTAAACAAACACAAAACAGCCACACTAATTACAGTGAGCCCAACACTAAATCTACCTAACAATGAAATGAAGCTCCACTGGATACATGAAACCAACTAAATTGAACTAATCCGAGCACCGATCTAGGAGGGTGCTAAAACTCGTATCCGGTTTTGGTCTAATGCTCCTTTCTGTATTTCAAAGGACAGTATGTTGTCACTCTATAACAAGAAATTATATTTTAATAATGACAGGCATATGCAGTTTGTTTTTGTTCCGAATTGAAATTTGAACACAGTTTTCATTATTTGGAGATTTGGATGTATTTGAATTTCCAAATTACAATAGTAATGAATTTAAAAGACAATAACAAAACAAAATGTCACCCAAAATTTGAATTGAATTTAAATCTAATTTGAAGGCAATTTCAAAATATAAACGTATTTCTGACTATTGCTGATTTCCTTCAAAGACTATGTGTATTAGTGTTAGAATATAGAGAAAAAAAAATAGAAAAAAACTGAATAGAGTATAAAAGAATAGCATAGGAAAATAAAGAATAAAAAGGAATAGAATAGATATGAATAGATAGAATAAAATAAAATATAGCTGTCTTTCAAATTTAATTTTTTTTTAAACAACAGAATAGAATAAAACAGAATAAAATAGACTAGAAAAGAATACAGTAAAACAGACCAGAATAGAAATTAAAAGCATAGAATAAAATATAAAACAAAGGAAAAGAATAGAACAGAATACCATAGAAAAGAAAAAATAGAAGAGAAAATATAAAAATATAGTAAAAATAGGATAGAAAATAAACAAATAATAGAAACTAATATAAATAGAATAGAAAATAATATAAAATGAATGAAGTAGAATAGAATAAAATAAATAGAAGGAATAGAATATAATATAGAATCCGTTGAAATAGAATAAAAAAAAAGAATATAACGGTCTTCTGAAATTTAAATTTCTAATAGAATTAGGATTGATTCAATATTTTCCATTCAAATTTGATTCAAATACTTTGAATACATAGTAAAAATGTAAATAAAAAATTAATAAACAAAACAAAACCAATTTTGTTACGAATGCAACAAAACTAAATTAGTAACTTAACAAATCGATCCGAAACCAAACACATTTTTTCATTCTGTATGTCTATTTACTGAAAGCTGAAAAAATGTTGAAAATTACTTTTGAAAATACTACTTTACAACATAGTAAAAATAATATGAGATTTGAGTGATTGGGGTTACATATGCTTCATTAATGGGTTGTAGGAAATTGGGGGGGTGGGGGACAATAATTAGAAGCTGGGGGGAGGCAGACCACAAGAAGATCTTTCCCTCTTTCTAGCCCACACACTGTCCAAAAGATAAATTCCTATTAAGAGTCTTTTCTGTAGGATTAGAGCTGCCTTCATGTCAGCCAGCACAGCCCCATCAATAAAAGTTATTAGAAATCAGAAGACTTGTATTTTGATCTCTTCTAAAGCTATGCAGTAATTGTAGCTGGCAGATTTAATGTGAATTTTGATATTGCAATATATGAAGATCCCCTGTCATCACAGATATTTTACACATAATTACTGTAATACTAGATAACAGTATAACTGCTCTAGTTGGCACCACTGCTTCCCTCAGGCACCTTCCATTATGCGCATGTAAAAAATGTAGGACAGATAAAATTATGAAAAAGAATAATCCAGCCCTCTGAGATAATTTAAAATAATCAATATCATGAGATTAATCTTTTTTTCCAGTCTGTGTTTCAGTGACCTCCAAGATATATTATATCCATCAATCACCAATCACTGCAGTTGCGCTGAGATCTCGAGAAAAAAGAATGATACAAAAGGAATTTTAATAATGGAACATGGAAATATGTCAGGTTTACGGCATCTCCTGGGAACTTTCTCGGAGAAGCGGAAGAAGTCAAACACAACTATTAAGCGGAGGTGAAGTATGAAACAAAAGGGAAGCGTAATATAGAAATCTTCGAGGATAAGATGGTACTTATAACCTCCATCTAACTGCATTGAATAGGAACAGATACAGTAAGGTTTATAATGTTGATTTTGCATTACAGTAAAGCCTTAGAATTCTGATTTACAGTTAAAATGTATTTCCATTTTTGCAGCCAAATTGGGATAACACGTACTTCATATTTTTTACGTGTTCTGATTCACATATAGCTTTAAAAGAATGTATAACTTACTGTTTACCTTATTACTTGTTCTAACATTTTACTCCTAAAATGAACTCTCCGGTGGAAT